CGCCATGATCGAGTATGGAATAATTAGTGAAACGGAAAAGTGCAAAGGGCGCGCGGGACCCTGATAAACAGGGGTCAGATTTCATGGGGGGGTGAGTAAGCCTGTGCATGAGTGTGTGCGTGTGTGACAGAGAGGACACGCGCGCACACACACACACACACACACACACACACACACACACACACAGAATAGAGGGAATTAATCTCAAAGGTCAAACTGGAGCCGGAGTCGGAAGGCAGAGGGCTGAGCCGGGCGGACCTAACCCCGAGCTTTCTCCGAGGCGACTCGCGTAGGCGCTCGCTGCCCCCAAGGGCACGCGACGCCCGCTCGCAGCCGGTCCCCGCGCGCGCAAGGGCCCCCGAACAACTCGTTTCACCTCCTTTCAAAGAGGGTGACAAAACGGGCTTTCTCCCGCCGCGGACCCCGCGCCACCCCGGCACGAGCGAGGCAGAGTCGCGCCCCGCGCGCCGTGGGGATCCCTGCGCCTCCGCGCGCGGGCACCGCGAGCGGGACAAAAGAGTTCGGGCCAAGTTGAAGCTCCCGGCACAGCCAGGCTTGGGGGGGAAGGAAGGTCCCCGGGGCAGACACCTGGGTGCCGAAGGTGGAGCGAGGAGGGCAGGCTGCCAGGCTAATTCACAATCCTGAGGACGAAGAGCGGGCAGGGGAGGGCGGTCAGGCCGATGCCCGCCAAGTGGGCGGCGGGACAGCCGGGGCTCGGGACGGCGGGCGCCTCTCGAGCTCCAAAGACAAGCAAACCGTCCCCCCTCTCCTCCCGGGTTCCCGCAGCCCCGGTGGAAAACTCTTTCCTCTCTTGCACCAAACTTTGCACCGGGCTTTGCTCCCTCCCGGGGAGGCGGCGGCGCGGGAAGGGTTAAGCCAGCCCGTCCCAGCTGACAGTCAGCTGATTGGGCCCTGATTGACAGCTCCGAAAAGTTTCCTTGTTTCTATACTATTATGCTAATCGCGGCAGCTCCCGCAGCCTGCCATTGGCCCGGAGTACCAGTCAATTTCCCATCTGGGCCTGACGTCACAAGTGCTATAAAACTCAGCAATTGCTTTAAACTCTTCTTGCTGGATCAGAGGCTTTAAAATCTTTTTTCATCTTCGAGCTGGAGCTCGGGCTGCTCGTCGGCTCGGCCTCCCCCCTTTAGCTCTCCGCCTCGCCTTTCCCCAGGACTTCGCTATTTTTTTTTTTTTTTTTTTTTTTTTTTTCAAAAAAGGCAAGAAAGAACTTAAACTCCCCCCTCCCTTTCCTCGAGCCCCGCTGCACCTCCGTCTTGCACTTTGCACGGAGAGCGCGCGCGAGGGAGAGAGAGGAGAGAGAGAGAGGGAAGGAAAAAAAAAAATAAAAAATAAA